CGCTCACCATCCAAGAGGATGACACTGACAGGCTGTCATCAATATTTGATAAAGCGAAGAAGCGGCCTGATATGTGGGCTGCCTCACTTCCCTCTAATGGTTACTGATTGCTCAGAGGGGGAACAAATGCAGGCTTTGAGGATGAGGATCCCAGACTGATGAAGGATGTTACACTCCAGGAGGCGCAGCAACCAGCTGGATTAACTGTAACAAGCTGAGGTGTCGCGAGCAACACGGGACGCCGAGTCCCATGAAAAGCAATGAGTCATAAGCCCCTCTGAGTGGTCAAATAAACCCTACCTGGGCTGTTGTTTTACTTGGGTGAACAGTTTGTACCAGTCTAACATGGTTAGTGTTCCATGGTTTTTGATGTTTTATATTAGATCCTATTTGTATAGAAATGTAAGCATCAGAAGGAGTGGCGGCTGGTGGAGTTTTCTCCGGGGGGGGGCTATAAATTCAAAATAGACGTATACTAAGTATACACCAGTATATTTATATGAATGTCAACAAGAAAAATCTTTATAAAAACAACATAATTTCATGTACAGGTACTTTTTGTACATAAATGTTGCCCTTCTGAGGCTTTATAAAGGCAAATCTGTGTTTTGCATGGTCCAATAAGGTGTCACAAACCTAAAAAAATATGTACCAGTTTAATAATGGAGAAGTACGGAAGAGGATTAGGGCCACTAAAAAAAAAAAAGTTAACTGATTTTTCAATTCTATTTCAGTTTAACATGGGAAAAAAGTCAGAATTATGACTGTTTTCTCAGAATTCTGACTTTTTTTCTCAGAATTCTGACAATAAAAAAAGTCAGAATTCGGAGAAAAAAGTCAGAATTCTGAGATTAAAGTCAGAATTCTGATTTTTTTTCCCATACTATACTGAAATGAAATAAAAAAAATCTGTTAACTTTTTTTTTTTTTTCCCAGTGGCCCTAATCCTCTTCCGTAGAAAAGCTATTAGTCAGCTTTATATTTTTTTATATATAAAAACTTTATTTTCTGAGAATGAGTTTAAAGTTGTTTAAGAGCACCTATGCAAATGAACAAACATTTAGAGAAAGTGCACAATATATTATTTTCATTGTGAATTCCAGAATGTTCACTCTTCTTTGCCTTTTCTAAAAAGGGTTAGATACTGACGATTGAAAAAGGAGGCAGTGAAAGCAGAATAAAGCGTTAGCCTTGCTGCATGCAGTTAGCCAAGCCTTGTAGCTAAACCAGGTCTCCATCGTCTCCATCTGTCTTTTGGACTGCTGATTAATTTTGATGTTCAGTGATTTCACCTCCAGTTTCTCTTGGTACGTTTTTTTTTTTTTTTTTTTAAAGGGATTTCACTTCCGGGATTCGACCTGTCATTCACCCACACTACAACTGTGACATCATTTCCTGCCACCTCGGGGCGCACAACTCCTGCGTCCTGAGCTGTCCTATTCTTCTGTGTTGCAGAGGAGCACTTTTTGAAAGTCTGTCTAAAACTGTTCATTAGTTAAATAGCTTAAGGTCAGTTAGGTTGAAATGGGGTCCCATATTGTGTCAGAATCAAAAATTAGAGATCGGTGCAGACTTTGACTGGGTTGCTCTAACATGGCAAAAACATGTCCCACTAAGAACAGTGCTGATTCTGTTGGAAATAAATAACATTTTCATGAGTAAAAAGAATCAAAGTTATATTCGCTGGGTCTGTTGCACATATGTAAGGTTCTTTTAAAGGTTTATTTTTTCTTAAATGAATTTAATGATTATATGCTGGCCCATTGCAAACAAAATTAGTTGTCCTTAGATAGGAGATAATCATTTCAACTTGATTAAAAAACAAACAAAAAGTAATAATTGAATTGATTAATATCTTTACCAATTGAAAGAGTACATTGCAATATGTATTTAAAACTACAAACAGTGAGTTTTGAGAAATATTTACTATTATTTTGTGATTGCTTAAAACTTGTCCAACATATTTGTCACCACTGTCAGATATTTATAAAAAGCAATAAAATCAGGCAACTAAAAGGTCAACTACATTCCCGAGGACCCCATTTTCAAATCTACTGCATGCTTCAAGTTCACTTAAATCTCCTGTAAGTTTGCTATTTTCTCTTAAACCTGTTCATATTTTTGAACACTGCTTGTGTCACAACCATAACATGTCAACACCGTCTCTTGTATAAAAAATATTAGATCAGATTATAACATAAATGGCTACTTTTTAAAAAGAGAGGGAAAAAAAGATGGCTAATGTGAACAATTCATGCATATCGTGTGAAAAAGTTTGTCACCACTGTCAGACTTCACCACCATCAGGTTTTCAGTCTGACGGTGGTGACAAAAACCTACAAATGGTCCTCAATGGAGGCTGGAATATAATTGTTGAGCTGTGATGTTTCTCTTTAATATTTTTATTTATGTTTACGTATGTAGGGGATGAGGTGTGCCTTCCCCCTCTCTCAATTCACTATTATGCCATGTGCATTTGGCTTGCATCATTTGGGATGCAAATGGTACACCTACTACCTACCTGCATAGCACATAGTATATAATATCCCTGCATCTCCTATGACTAAAGCCGAATAAAAATGGCATGGACACATTTAACCAAATCTAACATTTACTGTAATTGCCCCCAATTTCATAGTCATTACACTCAACTTTGACTTTATTTATTTCAGGAAGTCATGACTAGGCAGCAGCAATCTGTGGAGGAGAGGAGAAGAAACAGGGTATATAAAAAGAAGCATAGAGAAAAGAAAATATAGTGATGCAGAGTTAAAGGAGGAATACCTCAGAACAGAAAGGCAAAGATGGATGAAGAAGATGAAGTAAGGGAAGATTAAAAAAATCAATGACTTGAATGAAAAGGAAAAGAGAAGTCGGAAAGGCTTGGAAACGTAGACAAGTATCAAGCGACTGTAAGAGAAAGGGCTCAGTTCCCCAGACTGTCCATTGGATCAGGCCATGGATGAGCCAGCTTGGAGTAGACAGCCTGTAGCAGGAGTAGGGGACGCTATACCACAGTTTAAGATGATGTCAGTGATGCATTGTACATTATTCCTACTGGTAATTACTTTATTTTTTACGATGATGATTTGATGTTTAATGATATGGGGTACTTTTAATAATGATATTGCTTAACTGTTCCTTATATTCCTTGAAAAATGTTTGTCACAGTGCTCATGATTATTTGGACAAAATAGTTGAATAAAGTTAATAAGCAAGAAACCATTGACTTGAGTTGTATACAGTTTTAATTCTATGTTGTAATGAGGCCATTTTCACTACCCTCAGAGGGCTTGTGTTTTAAATGAATATGATCACAATATGTTACTTTAGTGCTGTTCTGTCATTAAAGTAATAGTTTTTTTTAATATAAAAATATGTTTGTTGAATCGAAAAAAAAAATCCTTTTTCTATTTAGGCTTAAAGTAAACATTGTGTGATGTTAGATCTTTTAAAGGACTACATAGCAAGCAGTATAAAAAATTTACAAAAATAAATATTCAGCATTTAACAGCATATATGTGTACTAACAATGCCAGAGAATGATTTAAAAACTCTAAATACATAATAGACCAAATAAATAAAAAACGTGTCTGATGGTGTTGATGAAAACAAAGAAATAACTGGAAAAATGCCTATTTTATGAAACAAAATACAGAATGAGGAGGTTGCACCAGTACATTACTGAACAGCCAAGACCTTGGTCTATAACAATATACCTTCAGATTATGAAGTTTTATCCAAATTCCCAAGAATAAGTTATATAAATATGCATATATTTAAACCCTTCTACACCATTTTGCCTGGATGTTCAGTGTTGCCGTTCTTCTAGGTGAACATTTGATATATTTAGTTTCATCAGTTTCATCTGACCTAAAATGTTTGGGTATAATAGAGACAAAAAAAGAGGAACATTTTTATTTGTATTAATCTTCAAGTAGGAACTTTAAATGATCCTGAAAGCAACTCTTTCATTTCAACCATAAACTAGATTTGTATTTACAGTGTTTTATGTGATTTGGGTCGAAAAGCCTAAATATATTTATACATCCTCACTTTTACATGTTTAATGCTTCAGCAGAGCCACCTCTCTGGATGTTTATAACAGTTTAGGCAAAAATACGCTCAGGATAAGCATCAATAACGCATACTGACCAGAACAGGGACATTCATTTTAGCAGGCATTTCTCTATCCCTGATTTAGTTATCTTTTGTAATATTAGAATTGTCTGTGTCTAAGTTTCTATATTAGCTTCTGTATAATGAATCTAAACATTTCTCTTTTTAGTTATTTAATAGAGTTAAGAAATTCATGAAAAATACTCTGAGAGTGACAAAAACAAATTTTTTTGGTCCAACATAACCTTACAGGCATTAATGCTTATACTTGCACTTACATTTTTTAAGTTTATAAACCTAAATATAATTGTTATCTAGGCTAATTAACTTTTCAATTAGCTTTTTTACCTTTTTTCTTAACTTTTTACAGTAGGTAATATATAATTGAAGGGCTCATCTAATTGGTCAAATGCCTAAATAAGGGCATGTGCAAGTGATAAAAAAATGATAACTTACACTATAAATGGTTGGATACTTAAAATAATAAAATATATGGACTGCTGTCTCTTTGGCGCCCCCTTCAGGCCATGGGGTGTTTGTCTGCAAGTATACAGAATAAAGCAGCTAGATCTGCATCTGCAATATTAGAAGCTGCGGAATTCTCTCGGATGCGTTGCATTGCTCAGTTGCTCTTTAACTCACTTTTTTATTCATTTTTTAGTCTTGTTTTTGCAGCACAGATGTGTTTTAGCACCATGCATGCAGCTGAGCCGTGTGACTGCATCTTTGAGGAATTGAAACAAGCCCCTCTGCTCACTCCCACCCTCTCATATTTCATAAATGTAGATGATTTGTGCCTCCCTCCTTCTTCCCGCTGATAAAGCAGCATAAAGGGGGAGGGGCTCTCCGCTCGTGGGGCTCCTCCTTCCCGTTTTCTTCCACTTGCCCCCCTCCATGTACTCGTCTCCACCTCCTCATTCTGCTCTTTGCAGCCTGATGTGTCAAAGGATGACAAAGCTGTAAAATAATAATAATAATAATATCGGTGTAGGGGGGAGGCTTCGTGTTGGTTTCTCTGGATCGGAAGAGCGTAGCGGCGCGTGAGGGCGACAGCTCGGAGTACGGAAAGGGAGGAGGCGACAAACGGAGCGTAAACACGACAGAAAACGGCGAGTAGAGACAGCGGTGACCCCCCCAGCAGCACAACTCATCCACATCCCGGTTCTTTTTTACGCTCTTTGACTCTTTTCTACTTGGAGCAGAATTTTATTTTATCCGAGGAGCTCTGTTTTTTTCCGGAATATAAAAATAAGGAGGCTGTGCAGCAGCAGCAGGACGATCAGCTCTCATCATAACCTGATATTATAGGAGAGAGGAGGGAAGCTGCTGCTGCTGCTGCTGAGCAGGTTTGAGTCTCCAGCAGCATCACCAATGCGATGCCATAGCGGCTCCTGCAGCAAATCCAACCGGCTGGAGTCAGAGCAGCGCTGCTCCTCTCCACCATGAACCTCTGAAAGACATCCGACTCAGGCACAGATGGGTAAGATGCTCTGCTTGGGGGTTTGGCTCTTTTCTTTATTTCTTTCTTTCTTTTTGCTGTGGAAGTAGATCAGGACCCCTGCTGCTCCACAATTAGAGGTAAATTTAACATGTGTTTGGGATGCTGACGGCGTGCTGCCGTTTAAATGCGGTGGGAGATGGGATGGGGGGCATACGATTTTACTGTCTATTCTGTGTGGGCCTGCAGGGATTATGCCCAACATTTCTAATCTGTTTTTAATCCTCGAAGCATAGTTTTATAGAGACCATAGCCGGATTGAATTATAAGCGACATTAGCTGCTTTTTCTTTAAGGCCTCCAGACCAGCAGGGGGCGCTCATGAGGTCACAGTAGCAATATGTTTGTGTATTCTTACATAGTTGGAAAATAAGTAAGAAAAAAGTCCACTGCTGAACCCATAATTCACTCTGAGAAAGTCTTAATTAGTTTTTCTTTATTAGTTATTTTTCTTGAACTCGTGTTTTGATATTTTCCTCAAAAAACACAACCACCAGTACATCCATCATAATTATTTAATNATTTCCCTTGGGATAAACAACTAATACATAAAATATACAATAATAGTATTATATTTTCTATAGATGCACTCACTGTGAATTTTTAAGAAAATATAACAAGTTGTGTTGTTTGGTTTTTTTTTCCCCATTGTTTAAAGCGTTGATAAATTAATTTCAATTCAGTTTGTATATAGAGCGCCATTTAACAACAAGTGGTATCTTAGGGCACTTTACAGAGGCAATTCAACCAGATCGTACAGTCAGATTGGTTCAAAGTTTTTTATTTAAGGAAAATCAGTTGATTCCATCAACGTATTGACTCTACAGCAATCCCTCACACTGAGCATGCTTGTAGCGAAAGTGGAGAGGAAAACTCCCCTTTAACAGAAAGAAACCTCCAGAAGAACCAGGCTCATTGTGAGTAGCCATCTGCTGAAGCCGCCTGGGGTTCAAGGAGATAGAAGCACATATACAAAAAGAAGCAGACATACGAAGGGTAACTGTTAACTAGCTCCATAGGTGCCCCCCTCCACCAGGGAACCTAGTATCAGCAGAGCTGATATTTCTCTCCAGGATGGTGTCATGGCAAAACGGGAACAAACCAGATGAAGCTACTATGTTGAGCAAAAGCAGAGAGAGGTACTGGAGAATGGGAGAATAGAGAGAGAATGATGAAACGGGGTCCTCCAGGAGTCTAAGCCTATAGCAGCATAACTATAGAAATAGCACTGGATACCCTGAGCCACCCTAACTATAAGCTTTATCAAAAAGGAAAGTTTTAGGCCTACCCTGAAAAGTGGACAGGGTGTCTGCCTCACAGGCTACTATTGGTAGTTGGTTCCACAGGAGAATCTACTTTTAGAAATTTTAGGAACGACTAGTAAACCTGCAGATTGAGAGCCAATGCTCTGTTACAGTGGTAGGATAAGGAACCATCAGATCCCTGATATAAGACAAAGCTCTGTTATTTAGGGCTTCTTATGTGAAGAGAGGGGTTTTAGATTCTATTCTAGGAAGCCAATAAAGAGAATCTAGGATAAAAATATTTTCTATCTTTCTAATTTGTCATCAAAACTCTGGCTGCAGCATTTTAGATCTACTTCAAGGCTGGACTATTGTAATTCTTTACTGTCAGGAAGTCCACTAACTGTAGTTAAAAGCCTTCCATAATCCCAATTGGTAAATTTTTCACTTGCAGATTCCCTCAACAGGGCTTCTCTCCCAACACAATCCTCAGTAGTATTGTGCAGCATTCTATTTAACAGTTCTTAGAGTGGTTGAGTTCATGAGCAAAATGTAGATCTCAGAAACATATCACTCATTTTGGAAACTCCTATAATTTTTCAGATTGTTATGTTTAATAGATTTTAAAATATATTAATATTTTAAATGAATCAATAAATGAAATAATAAAATTTATTGATCTCACAATGGAGAAATTAACTCTCTGCATTTAACCCATCCCCTTTGGGGAGCAGCGCCCGGGGGACATTTGGGAGTTAAGGGTCTTGCGCAGAGACCCAGAGCGGCAGTCTGTGGGAGTGGGTTTCAAACTCACGACCTCAGGATTCCAAGCCCTATGCCCTAACCACTAGACCATGACTCATTAAACAAAATTACAATTTTGTTTAAGATTTCAAAGACCTAATAATTACTGTAAGATGTTACAGAAAAAAAAACTGTCAATTAGAGCGAGTGAAACATTTCCACTCAGACAGTTTACTGGAAATGAACAGCAATGTGAGGGAAATGCCCTTATATTCTTTGTCATATTTGTATGAGAGGTTTGTGTAAATGGTGAATTAAGAAAGAATGCAAAGGAAGCAGAGTATGTGGGGTGAAGAGGTCAGGAGGGCCCAAACTCATCAAGTTGTGATGAAATGGGACTGAGTTACAAACAAGCCATGAACATAATAACCCAGATGAGACAACATTCCTCATCTGTCTGTGCTAAATCCTCCTCCTCAGAGGAACAACCGTGTCACACATCACCTCCCAAAAGTTTGAAACTCTCTGCCCCTGGCGGTCGGTTGCTGCATATGCCGGCTGCAAGCCAAGCTGACAGATTCTATTTTCATCTTGCAGATAGTCAACTGAAACCAAAACCCAGCCGCTCCCGCCGCCCCTCCATGCCGAATCCATTTCTAATTTCCCGTGAGAGCTTGCTCCAGCTCCCCGGCCAGCGCTAAGGGGGTCAGGTATTGATCTAAAGGCCTGTAGAGGAGTGCACCTATATGTGAAGTTGAATAAGCTGGTCTCTGTTGAACAGTTTGGTGAAATCTTTCTGCTAATAAAGCAGGAGGATTGAGGCTGGGAGAAGAGTACAAACTGTAGCACCTCAGAAGGCAGGTTTAGATTGTGTAGAGAAAACAGACTAGTTCCTTGGAGCATGCAAGCTCTTGTTTGTTTTGTTAGTTTACCTCAAATATAGGTGTCTGTTAGTCATCTGTAAAGATAGCTGAGTTATAAGGTTTTTTGTAGCACAGTAAATCCTCCAACTCCCAGGTTTAAATTACTGTATAAGGGGAGACTAATGAGCAGGCTCCACGTGCACCCACAAGTTTTTCAACGGCTCAGGCCATAGGTTGCATTTATGAGGAAATATCATTGTTCTCTCACTTGCTTTTGTTCCTGATTTTATTCATTTATTATTTTTTTTGCCTGACTATCAGCTTTTATTCCACTTTACAGCAGGAGTAGTTAAAACGGCAGGCCAGATTTACAATGAATAGGACTCTTGGATCAGTTCTACACATTCTCGATCTAGGCCCGCTCCCATTGGGATAAAATGGATGCTTGTGTGTTTGTGAACCCACAGAAAAAAGAGGGATTTCAGCTTGCAGACAAATGTAAGAATTAGTAACAAGCAAAGATGTACCCAGGAGTCAGATTAAAAACAACCTGCTCAATTCAAATCGGTCTATTTTCTTTTATTGGGGTTGAATCCAGTACAAAATGCGAGAATTAAAACATAATCCAGATATTTTCAGTTGATTTATGCATTTAATCTTCAGAAAATGTTTTAGATCTGATGAATCTGAAAAAAGAAACATGTATTTCACTTCTAGAACAAACAGAACGATACAGATTTTTGGTCGATGAATTGAGCAAACTGATGCAACATTGGTGTAGAAGTAACAAAGAAAAAAAGCAGATGAAAAACTACGAGACAGGAGAAGGCAAGTAATAAATAGGGTTGGAATCTCACCTTAACCCAGCTCCAGACAACTGGATACACATTGTCGAGCTACTTGCTTAAATTACTTGTGTATACAAAGATGTAATCTTACAAGGATGATGGGGTTTACCTCAAAATGATGCATAATTTGCTTTTGCTTTTGTAAGCACGACACACAAGGGTAGAAATAAAAATAAAAGAAGTAAAAAATAAGTATAGGACAATTTTAAGGATATAAATTTTTTAAGAAATATGAAACTTAGCAAATTGACCTAAATGTAAAAAATGTGTACTTATAGCAATACAAATAAATTAAAACACACCACTTTTATTTACAATAGTGGGGAAAAAACTAGGCAACAACAGCAGATATGAATGATTTTAGAGTTAAAAAAGAGCAGCAATGAGAGCTGGGAGGAAAGATCTGTGATTATGCTCCTTTGTGCATGGAGGATGCAGCAGTTGTCCCTTAAGGTGTTGTCTTGCTCTACACGGATTCATGCATGGTGCATATAGGGCAGCTTGAAGATATTGAAGGCAAAAATAGACTGATTTCATTAAAGGGAAGACAGAGGACTAGACTCGGGGAAACCCACCTGAGCTACATAGCTGAAGCTCACATCCTGTCAGATTTGATTAGGAACAACCTCACTGGATTTGTTCCTCTGTCTCTTACATTCTCTGGGCTTCACTTTCAGTTCGATGCATCGTCATGACTTGTAAACACTCTTGTCTGGCAAGAACCTTTAGAGGAGACACTTGCCCATTAGGTAGATGAAAAGAAGACATGGTTGTTAAGAAAGGTACCTGAGTGGTAAACTCTTCTCCAGACAAATTAGGGAAACCATCAATCTCTTTAATTTTCTCTCTAAGTACTCATGGAACTTTCTTCCTCTTTGTGATTTAGCTTCTCAGCCACAGACATCTACAGAATTGATGGTCAGCTTCACTGGACGGCACTTAGAGATGTAATAGTCTACTATTTATTGCAGTCCAAGCAGTTTTATGTGCTACTGATATTGAATACTGTCAAATTCTGATGGCAGAATATTTTCACTATATCATTTTGGTTTATTTTATATACATTGCAGCTTAGAGATGCTGCGTTGCAGTTTTTCGGCTTCTGGACCAATCTGGTTTTATGGATTAAAGTTTAATGCTTTTATTTAAACATTAATGTCATCATCTAATGCTGCTTAGCCAGATAAAAACACCTGCAAACTTGATGGTATGCACAAAGCTCTTGACTTGAATTGTGTGCTTGAAATGAGCAAAACAGTGGGCACAAACTTTTTAACATGTTGG